GGAATAGCTCTCAGTCCTCTTTCTTAGGAAAGACAACCAAGAGCCCAGGGTACCCGCAACGTTAGATTTGTTCTTAAGGATTAAGCAAAGCAGTCACGTCTTGCTTTTGCATGCATTCTCTCAGTCCCCTCCGTCAGACACAACCTTCATCTTTCATATGTGTAAGTCACAAACACATAGATTTAACATATCTTTTCTCCATCCAACCACTGTACGCGGGACGACAGCATAGCACAGTGTATAGAAAAAGCCAAGGTCACAAAAACGAGCATTACAAAGAAGCCTGTAACTCAACAAATCTTACCGTGATGTCTTGGTACTGCAATATAATGCTAGTCTCATACTACAAAATCATGACCAGGTTATCAAAACTAAAGACATTGTAGCACTGAAGCATCTTGCTTCGCAGGACATGAGGACATAATATTGGCTATCATTTAGACTGTGGGGTTTTATGACCACATCTGATTTTGAACTGGCTCTCCATCTCTTCAAAGGCTAGTATAGATTCCTGTATTTGATTCTAGCATTATTCTGTAAGATTTGTATTTGGATTTTTACCTTCTGACCTAGGAGATTTAATGGTGAGCATGAGAGAAAAATGTACACATATAAAATTGTTTCACTCACCTTATAATTTAGGGGAGGAAAAAAAAATGTAAAATTAAAACTTTAGAAGGAAAAATAAAAGAATTTTATAATTTCTGGATTAAATCGTCCCCAAAAGTATATATTATTGATAACATTATTTGCCCCAGAGATATGCATTTGCTCCAAAACTAAAAGAGGTAGAATACTAAATGATTCAGGCAGAATGTGGAAGAGATGAGAAATTCAGGATTTGTTGCTGTTCTAATAGAAATGTAGCAAACTCGCATGCTTCTCACAGCTATACTTCCAACACAAATAAAACACTAGCGGAGCAAGGAGGCTTTGGGTTTTGGTCACAGTTGAGTGTTTTAAGTTGTTTTAGTGTTTAACTAGCTAGCTATTTTCAGAAAAGCAGCATTAAAATTATCATTATGAATTGCCTCTGCTTGATGAAGGTCTGGTATTAAGTTATGGTATCTGAACAAATCACTTCTCAATTATTTCACAGATATGTTTATTATTTAAATAATTTTAATGATTAGAATTATATTCATTAAATATTTATGAAGCAAATGCTTATATTCATATATCCCTGTAAATAAAGCAACATGATTTAGGCTCTTAAAAAGAAAGTTACCACTGTACCTTACAACCTTCACAAGCATGTACTCCGTAATGGTAGCCTGAGGCTTTATCCCCACAAATTCTACATTCAATGTTTAATGCTCCACTGGGTGATTCATCTATGCTACCTGGAGCTGTGGCAAAATTAATGGATGAAGGACTGGAGGCTGCTGAAAGAGGGTCTAAAAGAAAAAGGAACACTTCATGAATACTACACTATCAAGACTGATACCATTTCTATACTAAATGCACACCAAAAGTGAGCTTATTTAAAAAATAACCTAGATTTAATAGCCATTAAGTGAACTAATAATTTGGCAGTAATAGTGTTTGAAAAATAGTTCTTATTTATAGTCACAATGCAAACAAATACAAAATACATGGTGTAGCTTGCTAATTCTGATGAGACATACAATGTGCACAAACAAAAAAAAACTAATGAAAGTCACTCTGATAACAAGAACTAGAAGGGTGATAACGGTTCTTCAATAATTCCACAAATACTCTCTAATACAAAATATGAAAAAAAATCTTTTCTGGATTTTCTCATGTTCAATTTCTTTACTTTGAACTTCTCAATTTTTTCCAGTTTGACATGAACACTAAATTGTTTTATCCCAGAATTTACAGTAAGTGAATAAAAAGCACTGAAATGATTTTTCATTTAAATCAAGGAAGTTTTTCCTAACTATAAAAAAGCACATATGCTGTCTTCACTAGTTCAAGAATAACACAACATTTGAAACTGAAATGCAATACTCACCATGTATTTCCTGCTCCAGGCAAATAGTGAAAAAAAAAAAAACCCAAAAAGAAAAAACCAAACCAAAAAGAAATCCCACGTCTTCAGGTTTGTATCACCGTATCTATTCTAACTGTTGCTCAATCTTTCCAAAAAAGTTACTAACAGCTCATCTTACCATTACATCTTCCATCTCTCATGCTGTAGTGTTCAGAATCAGATCTATTGCTATGGTATGATAAGAGAGATATTCCTAGCTCAATGCTGAGTTAGTCCAGCACTTGAAGATACACTTAAAAATCCCAGCAACTTCAGAAGAGCTACTCATGGGTTTAAATGATGATCTAAACTGACGTCTAAAAAGGGAGCTACAGCACTTCTCTTTCTAAACAGGCCTTTTTCTCAAAGAAGTGAAAGCATGCTTCTTCATAACCAGAAAAATACTAAACAGATATTAAAAGGTAGATAAGACGAGCATCTGTTTCTAAGTTAACTTAGCAATACATGTCTTGCTCAGCTATTTTACCTTTTGAGTATAATGGGAAAAACATTTCTGGACAGTTGTACAATGAAATAAGCTGTCCAGACATTTTACTACTAGATGAAAGTGTTACGAAACTAACACATTCCAATTTTAGTTATTTCAATTAGTATTTCCACCTTGCTTGAGGAAAATATTTTCTGAGGCCAGAATTTCTTTCATCTTACATCTTGTAACTTGCACCACAAGACTTTAGCAAATTAATGGGTGTGTTATTTTAACAGAAAGATTAAGAAACATTCATTAATGTAGGTCAGCAAGTATTATGTTGGAAAAAACCTTGGCATAAAACTCTGAAAGTCTGCATTGCCAGCGCTGCCAAGCCCACAGGCATCAGAATAACCAAGGAACAGCCTAAAACCCAGGATTTCTTTAAACTATGATTTCCATTTCTTTTTACTTGCCTTATGGAATTTGTTCACATTTTCCATCTCCTCTACAAGCAAAACTAGAACTTTTTCCAAGGAACACTGAATACTCAGAATAAGAATGTAACACTAGAAACTGATCCAAATATCACAAGACTTAAACACACAAATAACAATTAAAATCCCATGACTTGGAAAGACATTAAAAACCCAGTCCATCTAAACTTTTCCTGCGTAAGGCCTACCTCTAACGCGAAAGATTTCAGTGAGAGGGACTCAAACGATATTTTTTACATCATTTCTTTGGACAACAGTGCCAAAATGCAGCTCTCCCTCTCCCTTCAAAACTCACACTGTTCATTCTAACCACTGTAATACAGTGGCACTTCTCAACTGCATCAGTGCGGTTTCTATGAGGTATAAATCTAAGAACTGATTTATTGTGTTTAAAAAAAAAAAAAAAAGACCAGAAAAAAATCAATCACAAACAGCTTAAATCAGCTCCACTACTGAAAGGTTTGTGAAACCGCCATTTCAGTGAGAAACTGACATTACTGTGGTGTCCTGTAAGTTTTCAGTGATTTCCACTGTAATCTCTCACACAAAAGCTCATGCAGTCAGAGATCTTTTGACTAATGACCATGTAATGCATGAGCAGTCTCAGATGAGTTACTTTAACCAAAGTAGAAACTGTTAGTGGAATAATGCTATTTTTGAGGGGTGGGGGTGGGGGGGGAGGGAATCATCATAGTAAAAGCATCAGTACCTTAAAACGTACTAGAATTCTAGGTTAGCTTTTTAGGGGTTAGATTACAAATATATTTTCAGTAAATACTTCACAATACATTTCAAACATGCAATTTGAAGAAATTTTAAAAATTGAGGAAAATTTGTATTGTAATATTGTGTTTTACAGTATTTCTAAAAATACATCTTCTTTGCTAGTGAGGTTTAAGAGTTTATTTGAAAAGAGAGTTACTTTGATACTACTGACAATTTAAAAACAGCAACTTTACACATCAATCATTTTTCAGTAACGTTTGCCTCATAAATTAACTCTAACCTTAAATATTTTAAGACCAAACTATAATCAGCTCATATATTTGTAGTGCCATTTATTTATAAACAATGATTACCACATTAAAATTTTTTCTGCCATCATTATGTGTGTATATATATATACACACACACATATATATAAAAATATACAGTTTTAATATAATCAAAAACTCTCTTACCTGTTATAACTGATCCATCAGATCCTGGACCATTTCCCAATGATTGGAACTCTGTCAAACTTAAAGCTCCAGAGCTATCATCACCTAGAGACTGAGAGATGTCTTGAATATTCTCCATATCTTGTAGGAACTCTCCAGACAAAGGACTGCCTATATCATCCTCCTCCAACGGAGTAAGCGGATAAAGCTGGTTTTCAGTGTCCACCATTTTGGTCAAGTAGAGCTGTCAGTTAAGCTTCTTTACACTGTTGAAAGAAATAAAAGAAAAACCTCTACTTACAATATCAGAATAAATTCATAATTTGTTACATTTGTATCAGTTACACACATTATATCAAATACGCGAATTTTAAACTCAGAGTGAAATACTATACAGTATTCCGTTGTTCCAGAAACTTTTTAAAATATGAAGCATTGACAGGGCAGAAAAAAAAAGTCCACAAAATATTTCAATATGAAGAAATGCTATGACAAGATTAATTTGTAGATTCTCTCCTCTACTTTTAAAAGTGATAAATCATGTTTCTACAGCAGACATGATGCACTTCTCACCAAAATTGATAGAAAAATAACAAATATCAACATGTATACCTCCTTTGTTAGTCTTTCTCTCACTTTAGCTAAAGAGCGTTAAAGATGTTGATTGGTTCCTCTGTTCATCTCTTAAATTTGTTCAACAGGTCTTATGACACTGCAGAGAACAAAATGCTGCCTTATACTATAATCCTTATGGAAGCGGGCCAAATAAAAACTTTTTGACCTACTCAGGTTAATGAACGTGCACTTTCAACAAGAGTGCTCCATTGTATGCAATCCAGTATATCTGTAATTCTTAGAGCTGGTTTTAATTTATTTCCTACAATGAAATTGGTTTTTCAAGTTGCCCTCAAAAGAAGCCACTGGTCTCATCAACTTTGAATAAAGGCACAGATTCCTTAGAAAGTACGTATTTCATTTCACAAATTTTAACTTTTCTTTTGTTGACTCATCAGTTAAGAAATTAAATGTACTGCAGAATGTTGCTACTACTACAACTATCCAGCAGCTTGCATCTTTCTTAGCACTGGTCGGCCAACGTTATTTAAAATACTGGCTTTGTCAAAATTCCCTTTTGATTTTTAGATTACCCAACTTTTTATTTGAGGTACTAGGTAACTGTAGTAGTATACCCTGTTAGAATACCCATCAACATTTTAATCCTTCAGGTATAAGGAGAGATTCAACTTGGATTCATGTCTGATGATTAGAACAAAACAAGTAATATGTTATATATGACCTTGAGCAATTTATTACAGTTCTATGTGCCAGTCTACCTCTCTGTGAAAGAAAGATAACAATATTCACATTGGATAACTATGTTCAGGTTCATGGAAGAAAAAAAAAAAGTTTCCTGAAATGTTGTCTAGTTAGGTTCTTTTTCCTGCAATCTACTGTTATAGTGTTTAGCTTGTAGCATTTTTTTCCCCAACCCAAATACCACTATATAGCAAAGATACAGATTTTTCCCCAGTGTAATGGCTTATCATGTACCTGGATGAAGAGAGCTAAAGGATTAGCAGACAAAAATACACAGCAAAATCCATTTTCTGCTCATTTATTTGGTTCACACACTGAAATGGAGTTCTTTATGCAAGTAAAACACTAAAGATTTCCGGATCTGTCCAATATAGCCGAGGGGACGAAGTTTTCAGAAGGTTCATTTTATTTCAACTGTTAAAACTAAGTCGAAGAACATGAGCCATTCTGAAGTCAGAAAATTGAAAGGAATCACATGTTTTAGGAATCACATTTCTAAATATCTGGTGTTATAAATCAAAACAAGATAGAATTCCACTCTCCCTTATTGAGTAGGAAAAAGACTGATATTGTCACTATTACTGGCTTATCACCACGTACTACAGGGATCCCTAGTAAAAATTTGTGTGCCTGATTTCTTGGAAATAGGACAGTTTTAACTAGAAAAGGGGAAATCATTTGACTATAAAGAGGACCTTCCTGGAAAGGATTATCTATTGATTACCTCTTTTTGGCAAAATCCACTTTATTTCAACTGTTGTCAGGTTGAGTAAAGAAGTACAGAGGAATTTTGAAATAACAATATCACATCCCTTTTGAATCAGTATCTTGTGGTTACATCATTTTAAAAAAGCCAAATCATGAGCAAAGAAAAAATGTAAAATGAAAATGTGTTCTGTAGCATATGGTGTAGCAAATAATGCCCAGAAAACTAAGAACAGGAATTTACCCATAATTTGTGATACCAATTACAGACGAGCTGTTATTGATTTTGCTTGGACGTGTCACATTTCTCCTCTATCACTATACACAGCTTGGTTCTATTTAAAAGATAACAGTTTAATTTAACTATCCATTTTGATATATTAAATACTAGTTGGGACACTGTGTAAAAGTTGCAGCACTTCTCAGCAATTTGAGGGTTTTCAAGTGAAAGCCTTTCTGAAAGGTTGAGTTGAAAGGGTAGTGCAGTTTTCTTTTAAGAGTGTCCAAGCAATACAAAACATTATACTGGAAAACTAAACCAAAATAACTTTTTTCAAGTAGAATACTGAAGTGTAATTGCAATCAGTTACAGACAATACACAATTTCCATAATTTGAAACTACTGGATTTTAGTGAAATCAGTTCCAATTGTCATTTTCTTTTAAAATTCAACAGCTATCCTGCCTCCAAGAACCACCTTTGTTTCTCTTGCAAATCCTACTGACTTGTCACCTGCCAAAATATTAAGAAATATCTAGATTTGATACTCACAAGACTGCCGGAAGACGTACAATTTAAATTTTAAGATGACTGTAACTTTCATGACCACAGTTACTGCAGGAAAAAACAAACAGAAATAATATATATTAAAAAAAAAACAGAAATAAGGACTCTAAAACAAAGCCTCTACTTTACAAAGTAATTAATTAGCCTAATGTTTTAGGAATGCATGGTCATACACCAAAGGAAAACTGTAAATTATCTGATGAAGATTTTATTGCTAAACTGTCAGCACATATTCAGAACAATGTTTCCAATCTCATAAAGACCCAAGATGCAGAATAACTTTGCAGATGCAGAGTGCATTAAAAAACACTAATTTCACCAGAAAAGTGAGAAAGAATCAACTGCAAGTATTCCAGGTTAACATCATCTGATGTCCTCTGCTAATACTTTTAATCCTGGATGTCTTTGTACAATTTGTCTGTTGAGACACCATGAACCAGCTCAGTTACACCTGAAACTATAGTTACCTCACTCTATAGTTACCTTAGTAACTACAGAGTCCAAAGCAGGGGTTTCCAGCACCATATTATGCACCTTTTTTTTCCCTAGATAAAACTTCAGCATCGTTACTGCAGTTAGAGAAAGCATTTCTATGTATTTCATGTGTGAAAACAAAGTTAAATTGCTATCGCCATGATATGGCTATTTTGTGATTAGGGAAAGGAATAATGAAACCTTGTCTTGAATCTTTCTTGTAACAGCAACTGAGAAAAACAGCAACTGTTCTCTGGCAACTCCAAAGGAGGCTACCAAATTTGTCTCCCCAGTGAGTCATCAACAAGAAAGAAAGAAATGAATGGCCAAGAATACGATCAGCACTGCTCTTCAAGGGTGTTCATCACAAAGCTGTCTTAGCCTTAAAAAGGTCGGCCATAGCACAGAAACATTATACTGCTCTTCAAACACGTGGGAAGAGCACTCTGCCTTGGTATAGCAGCTGAGGAAGTTCCAGGAGGCACTAGGCTCCCTCTAGCCAAATGTTACTTTAAGTTCTCTGTTGAACGATATACATCTCTGTAAGTATGACTTCTTAGTTCAGCACAAATATTTTTACAAGACTAAGTGAACACTGAAGTTTATCTTTAAATAAGATAAGCATTATTTAACAAGAAAGCAAAGTAAAAGCTTGATAGCTGAACTCTGAACACGGCCGCAGCTTTTTCAGCGGCACAGCCCTTATTGTCCAAATTGCATCATTTTTCACATTTACAGTAAATATTTAAAATTCACCAGTCTTTGCAGCTGAATTTATATAAGAGCAATGTAATAGCTAGTGAAATATAAATGAAGTGCTTATTGTTTTAACTATTAAATTATGTACCCTTCTGTACTTTCAAATGCTACTAGTAAATTGCAGCTGGTTAACCATTACGGCTCAGGTCAATGGTTAACTAGCTAAATTAGCAAGTACAGTGATTCAATAGCTATTTTTGAAGACTGTCACAATAAGGATACTAATTATTTTCATTACTGATTTTCTTCATTTGCTTTTATTTCATATTTCATTTAAGGTATTATTTCATTATTTCCTTTTATTTTAATTTCATTCTTCAGAAGCACAGAAAAACTTACACTAAAACATCCAGCATCCGCGCAATAAACCCTTTACCTTCTCTCTTCACAGTATTGTCATTGGCAGGTTTCATTTACTACGCATTGATATTCTAATTTGTGCTTGTATGAAAATAAAGCTTGTAAATAAAAAAATGTACCAAGTATAAAGCTCACTTAATAATGTTCTCAAGTAGTATTTTGCTTAAAAAAAAGCTTTATGAGTTTTAAATATTTCAACAGTAGATGTGGATGACTCAAACACTGAAACATCTGTACAAGTCAACTTATCTTCTTACTCTTAAGACTTCAGAAAAATCCTATGTCACAAAGACGCTGGCAGATGATTTTCTCTCAGGTTCCCATACAACATCCTAGCATCCAAAACCCCTCCCCCTACACACATCGCACACACAGAGTGAACTGAAAACAAGAGAATACATAGACAAATTAGAACACAATTTCATATAATTATGGTTTCAAGGATAAACAGATTTTACTGGAGCTCTATTAGAGTTTGTGATCTCTGAAGTACGTCAGTTTTTGGAAGAAGCCCCCTTTACCACCACCACACCACAAATACTCAATGGGTAATTCGCCTATATACTTAAGGCAGATTTTAAAGAAATCACAGTCAGAGTATGAAAGAAAAACACCTAATTATGCAGCAATCAGTTCTTTGTTTCATTTTTGGAAAGGGATGGTGCGAGATTAAACCCCTGAGATGGCCCTTCCACATTTGCCACGCTACGGATAACCCATGTTGGGAGGCAGGTCTTCGAGATGCAAAGGTCTCTGAGAAGCAGTGACAAAGTCTGGATTTACTGCATAAACAAATTGATTGTGTAAAGGGCTTGCTTGCAAATATCAAGGTTAAAGTTGAAATATTCATTACCTCTAGGTCACTTTGCAAATGTTGTAGCTGAAGACAGAACATTTAAAACTAGTGGGTACAATAGATACTTTTAGAAAACTGAGATGAATAAGAAGAGCCTGAATATAATACAGAAGCTACAGGATATTTCCAATATCCTGCTTTAACACATAAAATCATCAAGTGAAAACAAGAAAAAGTTGGCAGCTAAAATATGAAGTACAGGCTCCCATTTGGGAGAGGAGGTAGGTTTTCTCCTCTATCCTCTGACATCTGGTATGATTTTTATGCTTTGTAACCTTCCAAACCAGTAATATTTTACATTTTACAAAGCGTTACGTTTGTAAAACAGAGTATTCAGAAGTTTATAAGATAATTTACTATGGATGAAATTAAACATTTTTTGTAAGCCATCTCTTTTCCTCAAAGCTGCCAGCTGCACAAAAACAGAAAAAAAAATTTCTTTGTTTTCCTTTATACAGCTTCACTCTAAGATACTATATGCAACTAGTAAGCATCCTTACCTTTAAAAGGAATCAGAATTCACATAGGCTAATTTTGAAAAATAATACTAAAATTGCAAAGTTAAGCTCTTAAAAGTTAAGTAATGACAAAGCTTATGCAACCTTGATTATACTTCCTCATTTTAAGGCACTATTATAAAACATACATACATACTGCACACTGTTCTTTTTTCTCTACATCTTCGCCCTTATAACTGGACAGTGCACTCAACAGAAACAGAATTACACAGCTTGCAGGACAATCTGGTTGATATTAGTCTGCAGCAGGAAAAAAAAAATTTATCAGTTGATCAAAAAGGAGGAATATTCCTTGACTAATTAAAACCAGAAGCGAATCCTCCTTCTCTGATTCATAAGTACTTGCAAAATTGGAGGAGCACTGGAGGGTTTCTTGAAGGAAAAAGACAGGTCACAGAGGTAACTTGTGTCTACTTGGTCAGGGTAAGGGGGGGACCAGAATGAGATTTACTCTCCTCCCTGCAACACACTTCTCTAATTGTATCAGTAGTTGCAAAGACAACACGCTTCTAGTCTTACATGGGAATAGTTGGTACAGTTCTGACACCGCAGATATTTTGCTGATTGATATTAAAAGTGGTAAAAAGAATACGGAAATATTCCCTTATTTTTATACTAATCCAAACCCCAGAAGAACTTACTGAGCCAGACAGCAGTCATTTCTTTGGTCCCAGAATTTTCTGTCCTGTTGGATTTTAAAAGACATGATCCAAAAAGACAGAGGAAAGGCAAGATTTTCTTACTGAAAATTAACAATTGTTTTTATCAACTTTTCCATACAAGTAATTATCCAACACCGTAAGCAAGCAGTTTTTAGACAGGACTACAACAAATGAATATATGTGCTGTACAAATAAGTTAACAATAAGAAGATACACACAAGAGCAGTGCTGATTAATGACTGACCAGATGTGCACAGTACAATAGTAAGAGACTGTATATTATACTAAGCAGAAATACTATTCAACTAGATGTACTCTGTCAGACTGGCAGGAGCATATACAATTATCCGGGAACTGTGGCACCTCTAACTCCTATTAGCCCACCAGGAGTACAAGAAAGTTTAACGGTAAGGCCAACATGGTTTATTTAGGCAAAACACTGAGATTTTAAAATCAAGTTTACTTTGTGACATATGCAGAGCAGATATTTTCCAGATATATAGAGAGGTATAACAAAGTTGCTAAAAACTCTTGTACCATGCAAGGTGCATGATATTCAGCATTAAGTTAAACTTACTTGTTCAACTTAAATCTCAGTTCTTATGATGTCAGTATTTTGTTAGTTATTCAGATATTTTTACTTTGAAAAATATGGAAACTATTAATACAATTATTAAATGTCATTTACATGTCAAAGCTACAAAATTATACTTTTCTTAGGTAAATTTTTAAAGAGTACATGTAAGGAGATATCAAAGTAACCGTACTAACACAACCTGTAATGTGGCAAGAAGAGTATTACCAACAGTGTAACATAAAAGCAGGATACAAACTGTGTGTGTACAGAAGACAAACTGGGGTTATCAAAGAGGAGGTAGCTATACTAAACATACAGGATTCCTTACACAATATTTAAGTGCAAAGCAGTTACTGTGCAGAATCTATATTAACAGAAATTTAAGGATCTAGGAACCTCTGTTTAAAAGTTAGGATCTCCCTGATCAAAAATCTAAAACCTAAACCTATATAATTATTAAAAAACCCAAATAGTTAAAGGCGACAAATTCAAAGTCCTCTTGGATTACAATATAAAATGCTATCAGACCTCCATAAGAAAAAGAACTTCAAATTGCTTATAATTTCAGGATATACAATGACACATAATAACAATTTAGCCCCCAGAATTTATTGAAATGACTGGCTAAATCTGCTCATATTTAAAAATACTTACAGACCTTACACAGAGAGAGAGAAAAAGACCGGAAAAAGGCAAGGAGCAGGGGGAATGACAAACTGAAAAAACATTAGAGGACAATGACATAATCTATGACAGCCACTGATCAACTACTTTGTAGTTCCTGAGCCAGCTTCAATCCCTGTTGGCATCTCCCTGTAGCTTCTTTCCAAGATTTAGTGGCA